CAAAGCTCTGCAACTCCATTGGAAGGGTGTGCCGCCACTGACACGACCGCCCGCGCTGCGGATCTGTCGCATAGGCGATGCTGACCGCGGCGGGGTGCTCCTGTTGACAACAGACCACTCCCTCTACTCGGCTCAGTTGCAGACAAACAGGAGCTCGCTGGACCTCACCCTACTACGTACGGACGTTGTGGATGTGGACTACTGCAGTGGCAGCCTGGAGCTGTTCGTGGTGCTCGCTAATGGTTCGGTGCAGCGCCAATTCATCACGGGCCTCGGGCTGGATAGGGACGTGCACCACCCGCATGCCTGGCAGACGCTGAGCTTCGATCCCCTAGAGATTATCGACGAAGGCGTCCGTATACGTCGTGTCTGCTGCTCTGCCCAGGGTGTGGTCTTTGTGAGCGCCAACGGCGAGACATATGTGATGGGCAGTTGCGGGGAGGTCTTCAAGGCGGAGCTGCAGCCTCGGCACATGCGTCTCTACGAAGAAGGAAAGGAGCTGCTGGATTTGGCGGCGGGAAATGAGCATTTCGTGATGTTGGTGGCGCCCTACAACCTGGCAGATGATGTTCTACAATTGCCGCTGACAAGCAAAGAGGAGACCGAAGACGATCGCGCGTCCGTCAAGTCGCTGAGCAGTGGAAACTCTGTGCGCAGCTTTGCCGCAAACACGAGGCACCTGCTTCATCAGGGATATGCCCTGCTGCACACCCAGCTATTCACATTCGGAGCCTCCAACAATGGACTGCTCGGAACGGGGGATCACATCCGACGAGCCAATGTTGCCCGTCTACAGAAACTGGACAGTATGGGTGTGTGCAGCATTGCAGCGGGGCTGGAGCACACGGTGGCACGCACCCTAGACGGCAGGCTGTACCACTGGGGCCTGAACACTCACGCGCAACTGGGCGAGGATGTGAGTGCGCCCAAGGAGATTACCATTGCGGATCAGGCAGCTGCGTTACCCCTGGAACAAAACTCTGCACTGGAGGCCACCTGTGGCGACTACCACACTTTGCTGCTGAATGCGTCTGGACAAATACAGTCGCTACAACCGCCACCTCCAATGCGACACCTGCAGCAATCCAGCACCTACGCCCAGACGCTGCTGCAGCTGCAGTTGGGTGCAGCCTGGCCCCACCAGTTGCGTTTGCTAATGTGCTCAGGCGGGTATACTGTGCATAATCAACGTCAGTTCCAGCGACACTACCACTACTACCTAAGCCACCTCCAGTCGCAGCTCCAGCTGCTGCTCAAGCACCGCCAGGCCGTCCAAACTCTTCAAATTTGGCAGCAGCAATCCTCGCTGGACGCCCTCAGCGCTCTTGGCCCGCTGCTGGTCAACTGGGAACGAATGCTCTGTCTGCTGGTGGCCACACTACACTCCTTGGAGGGATTCTACCGGGCTGACTTTGTCCAGCCTGCCGATTTGCTCTTCATCTGCTACCATAAGGAATACATTGAGCTCTTCGAAAGCTACACCAAAGCCTTCTGCAACGTTTACTCGGTGAACGGATTCGGCGAGGCGGTGGCCTCGATTGCCGGCCTCAGCAGTCCCCTCGCGGAACTAAACGAGGAAAGCTATGTGACGCGGCTGTTCCAGCAACCTTTCAGCATCCACCAACTGTTCATTCAGTTCATGGAGCTGTTGGTAAAGACGCAGCCCGAGTATAACGAGCATCGCCTGGCCTGGACGGAGTTCGCGCGGCAATGCTGTATTAGCCAGGAGCTGGCTGTGAACACCAAAGATTTCTGGAACAGCAACGATCGCAACCCACGCATTGTGCAGTTCAGACGCAGCCAGCGACGGGTGATCCTCACCTCCGCTCTGGTTCCCCTCAAGCTGGTCAGCTCGGTACTCAGCATGACCAGCAACAGCTTCATCCTCTTCTCCGACTTCCTCTGTCAGGTGGAAGGAAAATCGCTGTACTCCTATCCGCTGACCACATTATGGGTGTGGTCGGAGGGCGAGACTGGCCTGAGGCTGACTACACCCGAGAAAAGCTTTCTTGTAGTCACGCGCTCCCAGGAGATGCGCAAGGTGTGGCTCGATCAGCTGCAGTCGAGCATCGTGTCTGCTCTAGGGAGACCTCTGGGCAGTCCAGTGCCCAGTACCCGCTCCACGGGCTACGAGTACAGTCGCGAGCATCCGAAGTACGCCAGAGTGAAGGCGTGTGGCACTTGGAGGAAGGGAGTCCTTCATGGCAACTGCTATCTGGAGTATCCCGATGGTAGTGTATATTGCGGTGAAGTCAGTCAGGGAATAATAGAAGGTGTGTTTCAAGGCATTCTTGTGTATAACCTATAACCATCCCTCATTTTCTGTGTAGGTTACGGCAAAATGGTGATTCCCTCGACGGGTCTCTATGTGGGCCATTTCAAGGGCAGCCGCTTCCACGGTCATGGCCTGTACGAGATCCACTGCAAGGACTCGCACGAGAGCGAGATTTACGAGGGCAACTTCTGTGAGGGCCTCTTCCACGGGCATGGGATGATGCGCAACAACCGCTACATCTATGTGGGAGAGTACCAGGCCAACACCCGCTGTGGCTATGGCGTCATGGAGGACTTGATCAGCGGCGATAAGTACATGGGCATGTTTGCGGAAAACAAGCGCGTGGGCATCGGAAGTTGCATTACCAATCGAGGTGACTACTTCGAGGGCAGCTTTGCCGGCGACGATCTAGTGGGCAGTGGGGTAGCGATATTCGAGAACGACTACTACTACGAAGGTGAGCTTTCGCTGCACGGACCGAATGGGCGGGGAGAGTACTACATGCCCAGCGGGGATGCGGGTATTGCGGGGGCATCAGCAATGGGGTCCAGCGAGGAGAACGACGACAATTACGAGCTTATTGGCAACAAGATGTTTGGTCAGCTCAGCGGCAGCTGGGAGACGGTGCGCGTGCAGGCTGGCGAACTTGTGCTGAACCGACGCTTTCCGAAATACCCCAGGTGAGTCCTCTTGGCCACGTTCGAGGCATGTTCATCTTTTGTAAAACTTGCTTCTTTGCTTAGTTCCCTGGGCCGAAAAGTCGTGGATCATAATCGCAAGTGGCGTTCGTTGTTTCAGAACTTTGAATCTGATCTGGCCAGTTGCACGGCCAACACTAGCTCCGGATCCACTCTAGCAGCTGTGTCTGACAGCACACTCAAGAAACCAGCAAAACCCTCGCTCAGCACGGCCCAGCTCTGGAACTGCATATCCGTGTACATGAGCAAGCAGCGGGCACGGGCGGGGTCCAAGCCAGGAAACTATTTCAACAATATTTTGCTCAGTCTGCCGCTGCCTCAGAAATCGCCATCCCCAGTGGCCAAGGCAAGAACAACGACAACTGCATTGACCAAGCTGCATGCGGAGGCTGCTTCGGCACTGGATTTCCTCGGATTTCCCCCGCGCCGCATTCACTCGCAGGAAGCGCTGAACAGCAAGCAGAGCGGTCTGCAGCGAGCTGACAGCCTACTCTCCATGGGCCACAACTCGACCAGGGATTTGGACACAAGTAGCTTGGCCAGCTTTCAGCTAGATCGCAGTCTTCTGAACAGCACCTTCAATGGGGATGGCCACGAGTCTAGTACGCTCAACGAGAGCTTCGGTAGCATGACACAGAGCAGCATTAACAACAATAACAACAATGTTTCCAAGCATACCAGCAACGGCAGCGATTGCTCCATAACCTCGACCAACTCCTCGACGAGTGCTATGCTGGAGCAGGTGCCCAGTTTTGGCATGGCCTCGACTCTAACCGAGCAGGATGTCGCATCCATTCGTGTGTATCTGGAGCAAGCCTTCAAGGATCGCCACCACCCACTGCACGCCCTGAACGAACGGATTGCCAACTGCTTCCACTACTCCTACGGCTATTGGAAGGTCAAACCCACACCAATCCTGGCCAAGCAGGCCATGCGCGAATGGGAATCCATCTCCCGACGCATTTACCGCTTCGTGCGAAAAATGTTTCCAGCGCTGCCAGAGGACTATTGCCACTTGGAGGGCAGCAGAGAGGTGATCTCCCACATTACTCTGCTGTATCCGCTGGTGCTCTCGGAGGGCATTTACTCTACTCTTTTTGTTCTGTATGCTAACAAATACAGCCGCAAGGACGAGATGTACAGGCAGAACCTAAATCATGCCGAGAAACTAAACGACCAAGAACTTGTGGTCCTGATGGGCCATGAGAGGTGAGAGTATACCTTAAAATGCACACATTTGGAAGCCACTGCAATCAAATTCTTCTTTCATTGCAGTTTTCTTCACACTGTGATGCTGGACCCCAAGTTTGAGGAGTCTGTGCAGACCTTGAAGCAACTGCAGGAGAAGTTCAGTCCACAGGACATGTTGACTGTGATACAGCGCAGTACGCAGCTGCTAACAGAGGCGTATGAGCATGCCATGTCAGGTGAGCATATTAGCTAGATCGCTGCCCATCGTTTCGATCATTGATATCCATTGTATCTACTTGCAGCCAATGCCGCCCAGCTCAATGCGGACAACATGATACCGCTGACCATGCTCACCATGCTACGTGCAGCCGTACCCCATTTGGGTGCGGAGCTAGCCCTGCTGGACGACCTGACGGGTGGACCGAATTTCCAGGCAGAAATGAATGGGATGGCGGGCTATTGCTACACTACTCTAAAGGCTGCCTACGAGCATGTGACTCTAAAGGCTCTGCAAAATACGCCCTGAGTCCTAGGCGAGGCTAAGATGTTATATATGGCAATGCTTATCAATAATTACGATTTGGAGATGTTATGTCTCGAATGGAAAGCTTTAGAGCATACAATTTATGCCAATATTGATAGTTGTTTGGCTTTACATGATGTACGATTAGAGCCCGTTATATTATCTGTATATATGTAGTTCTTGGACGAACCTTGTGCAAATACCCCTCATAGGCTTACGAATGTTATTTATATACATATGCATATATATGTACAGTCCAGTGTGTGTGTGTGTGGACGCTCGATCGCCTGTCGATCAGTGTAACAAAAGTGTATCTATATCTGTTTCATATATTCTAAGCCAAACACCTTAACACATTCCGATTATTTACCAGAACAAATAAATTATATAAATTTAACTGCTCTTAGTTTTCGACATCCGCATCCTCATTGGAATCTTGCTGAGCTTGCTTCGTGGAGAACATGCAGGCGGACATGTGCTCGGAAAAGTGAGATTTGTCAAATTTATAGAGAATATACTTTTCGGGAAAGGTGGTTCCCTCTTCGTTGCTGTACACCAAGATGACATGGTCATGCTGCCGGGCGATCTTACGTTTGGCCAAATAGGCCAAGGCATAAACGCCCTTGCGGAAAATGTTTTGACGGTGCGTGTGGAATTTTTTGGTGCGGAACGAGAGCATGGTCACGTTGTAATATAGCGACACGTAGTCCTCCGCAGAGCGCATGTGGCTGACAAAGATGATGGGTGCCTCTGGGCGGAAGTGGGCAATCTTCTGTACCATGCGCGTCGTCACACCGATGACAACAATTGCCACAGCATGCACTTCCATGGCGGCACTGACCACAGCCCGGGCCAAGCCATCAGCGCCAGTATGCGATCTATCGCAGTAGGGAACCTTGGAAAGCGCCTCGGGCGGGATCTTCTCGAAGATGGCGTTCTGCAGAAAACTGAAGTAGAATGACTGCTCTGTCTTGTGGCCTTTGACCAGGTACTTGTCCGGATAGTAAAATGTGTAGAAGTAGTGGGCGGGGTCAATGCGAATCTTCTTCTCATAGATCAACTCGGGATCGAAGATGATCGGCTTCTTGGCCGCGTATACCAACTGCAAGAAGCACTCGGCATCTGGACACAGTTGCATGACATCGGGAACTATTTCGGGCTCGGCAAGTTCCACAAGGAAGCCATCATACCGCTTGGTAGCCCAGTTTATTTCGCCATCGCATCCCTTGACCTCGTTGAGCACCAACCGGGCATAGATACGCAGATTCTCGCACTGCATTATAGCCATGCATTTTTCCAGATTATCGAGGTACTTGGCGGTGCCAACGATGTTGGAAACTACCACATTGACTCCTACCTCGCGGGCAAATGTAAGATCCTCCAGTTCCTCGTATGATACCCGAAACTTGGAGCAGCGTTTTGGGAACAAAACGGGCATATATGACTCAAGCATTCCTCCACGGGCTACACAGCAGTTCAGATGATCTGGATGCACGCTGTGCACCACCAACTGGATCTCATTGCCGATAAGGATGAAGTCATACTCCACGATATCTCCCAGCAGGAAGCGGGCGTTCACATATAACATCAACGACGAGGAACAGTCGGAGAACTTCCGGTCGACAGTCAGTGTCAGCTTGTTCCCTTTCTTCAGCTCCACACAGCTGTTGTCGCCCTTATACTGTTGTGGGTTGAGGTAGCCCGAGTACTGAAAGCGCGGCGAGAGCTTCACCAAAATGGTGGATACGACTGGGAAGCCGTACTCCTTGGACACGCTGATCTCTGCTTCGCGCAGCTGCACGACCAGTGACTGATTGGAGCTCTGGGTGCCCACGAAGAGATCTAGGGCAAAGCACCGAACGCCATTGCCTAAAAATAGGGGAAATCCATCATACGGGTACGGGTACCTTTGAGGCAGGGCAGCTGTTTCCCCAGGCTACTCACGGAGAAAGGTCTTGAGTTCCTGATCGCACCCAAGCATTTTAGACAGCTGGATGCACTTGCGATTATCGTTGGAATCGGGACCATGGCGCGAGCTCAGTACCTGGAAGCCGGAAAAGTAGCTATGCCAGCGATTCTCCTCTTGGCACTGCCAGACGCCACACAGATCCTCGCTCAGCTCCTCGCCACCAAGCTCTTCATCCCCGCTCGATATGGACGGATACGAGAACCTGGACTCCATGAGTTTCAATTCGTTGATATTGTAGTTAATGCTGCCATCGTCGTCGTGACCCAGCAGGTGGAAGAACGTCTCGCGACGCTGCAGGCTGGTCAGCAGCTCCTTGGCCCGCAGCACCTTCTCCACATCTACGGCGATGACCTTAAGGCGGGTGAAAATTTTGTCGATGGCAGTCTCAATTGTAGGAGCCGCAGACTCCAAATATTCCTCAACATCCCCCATTAAAAAATTTTAAAAATAAAATAAGTATAGATATGTAAATGTAAATAAACAATTTGAAACTGTCAAATCAGATCTTTGTATAACAAGGATTTTTTACAAGTATTTTTATCTAATTTTTCCTGATCTTATACTTATAACTTTTGTTGCTAAAAACCATAAGAAAATGACGATATGATATGCTATTCTTATCGATCTTTCCTCTACTATATGACTAAATATGTTAAACAAATCATTAAAAACATTTTAACACGCTTTATTAAGCCTATTATCCACAAAACAGGGTTTTCAGCTAATTCTGCTACTATGGCAGCTATGTAATTTAAGTAGAGATCCGATTGTAAATAAATCTTACTGAGATCTATGAAATTATCCTCAATCAAGAATGGTTTTTCACCATTGATTAATTTTGAACTGATTGTCCTATACAACGGCATGATATATTGAAACAATCTTGGCGGCTGCCACTTTTTACAGCATTCATGCCATGTTATCGTATACCACGTTTAAGTCCATGTCCGTGCCGAACCCAAGGAGGTTTCGTGGTATTTTTTCTGTTCTTTGCCACCTAGGAATTTTCCAATTTCTTTTCTTTCTTCGTTTTTGTAAACTTTTCCACTAATAAAATTAGTTTGAGGCGCAGGTAACTTTATTTTGTTACTGCCGCTGTATCTCATTTCGGATTTTCGGTTTATGTTATTTATTTGCCTGTTTTTCCCGCAGGCGAAAATGTTAAATATAGCACCGAGCGTCAAGTGAAATGTTTACAATGTGAGAGAAAGGTAAATGGAAACGGACGGAACGGGGAAGGAGGAGGAGGAGGAGTAGGGCACAACAAGCTAGTCATAACTAAGCGTTTTAGAATCTTTTTAGAATCTTGTTTCCAACAAACATCATGGAGTTCCACCCCGAAATGGCAGAAGGCAGCGGAAAACAGAAGAAAAAAGAACATCCAAAAACATAAACATCCAGGAATGTTTAGAGAATAAAAATGTTCATATTCGAAGCGAGTTTTCATCTTTTTTTCCCCGCATTTTCCTCTCTCTGTTGTTTATTTTCTCTCGCCAACTGACAGATACTCGTACTCGTATACCGCCTGACTAAGGCCCCGAGTGGAATCGGGACTGGGAATCGTTCTGGATGGAGAGTGGAGAGAGGTGCTGACTGGATGCTGACTAGATGACTGGGTGTGGCCGCAGCCATGTTTAGACTAAGCAACCGATCGCGATCGTTGAATTACGAGTATACTCGTAGAACTTCCTCTGCTCCAATCACTCGAGTGCGAAAAACCGCTTGAACTTTGATGCTACGAATGCTGAACTGCACTCATCGATTCTCCTCCTTCCATTCTCCATACAATTAATTTTCCCCCCTTTATTTGTGTCCGATTTTAGAAAAAAATTTCTATGCCAGAGGGTGGCGTGGGTGGTGGGTGGGTGGGTGGATGGATGGATGGATGTATGGACGGATGGGGAAGATGCTGCAGCACTCTGCCGAGGTGTGGGGCTCTTGGGGCTGCCCATCTGCTGCCACTGAGCAAAAGCATAAATTGCCCGGCTCCTTCGCTCAGATCGTGTGCCTCCCCTGCACTTGAGTATATATCTTCCTCTCCCTTTCTCTCTCTCGCTCTCTGTATGGCGCGCTCCCTCTCTCTCTCTCTCTCTTTCTATTTGACTCGCTCGCACGCCCATTCATTTCGTGAATAGAATTTTCGAAATGTCTTTGAGTTTTCAAAATTTTGGAGCGTAGGTGCAGTGCGTCTCGTGGCGTCAACGTGTACGGTTCACTTTTCACTAAATGTACATTCGCTCGGAAAAAGAGAATAAATTCAAAGATCAAATCCACCTGCATACATTTTTTTTATCAGTTCAAAAATTAATATCCAAATTAAATTGAATCAACTTGAATCCGAATCTATGTTATATTTGAAGTGCTGCTCTGGAACAGGCAGAGACAGGAACGGAGACAGGAACAGGATCAGGATAAGTCGGCGGCCTGCCAGGCGGAAGTGGGCGTACATTTTCCAACTGTTGCCAAGTTAGCCCACACACACACACACAAACACACACACAACCACTCACCCACAACCACACACACACACACGCATAGCGTTGATAATTTTTCATCTTTCCAATATCCCACTCGACTGGCAAAATATTCGGTTTTTGGCTTTTGGCTAAAAATATTTAAAAATCCAAAAATCCACTCGTGTCTATGGCGAATGCCTCTGTTGCTGTTGCTACTGCTGCTGCGGCTGCCTGTTTTTCATAATTTTCAGTTTTATTTATTTATCCTATACATATAGGATACCCATATAGTCAAGTAGACGTCCGTCTCTCTGACAGTCTCTCTCTCCCGCTCCCTCTCACGTTGCGTGTGTGTGTGCTTCGTTTTCGTTTTTCTTTGCCTTTCTGCTGGCAACTGTCGAAAGTTTTTGCGCTTTTCGCATTGCCCATTTCATTTGGCATGTCGTCATTTTTGTTTATTCCACCGCCAGCACCACACCTTACCACACCACACCGCACCGCACCGCACCGCACCAGACCAATCCAATCACTGCCCAAGCTCCCTGCTATCTGCTGCCCCTGGCCAGCTTTCGCACCAGCCACCACCCTTGGCCATGCATTTTCCTTGCGAATGTTCCCACATTTTGGCGGCCTTTGTCTTGGGAATATTTTGGAGTAGGTGGATGCTGCTCTTAATTGCCAGCCTCATGAAACAAATCACAATTTAATAGGCATCCCATCCCCCAACCCAGTGGTTTACAACTTCCTTGCTTAGATACATATACATATATGTATAAATACATACAGACTATACGTATCTACGATTCTATAGAGAAGAGTACACTGGCGTACTCGGTCGTACATTTGGCATGGGGAGACAGCTGTGTGCATTGGCAGATGCCATCAGCATCGGCATCGGCATCGGCATAGGCATAGGCATCATCCTCATCCTCATCATCATCGTCCGTCCCAGCGCGTATGTGGGGGAAGTCCATAAAAAAAGAAACCAAACCAGCACACAGTTATAAAAATAAAACTATTTTCGTATGGCATGTGCATATAGACCCTCGATCATTAGACGGCAGCGATGATCAGCAGCAGCCGCCTCTTGGCACAGTTTTCCAGAGCACCGATTGGTCCATAAATCAATCGAAGCAAATTAATTTAATTCAATTTCTAAACACGCTGAAGCAAAAAACCGTCCGCCTCGTGGTGCCATGTGTTCAAAAAAGTCCGAGGTTTTCGCAGCTAAATATATTGTAAAATATACAAAGATCAAAATTCTAGTCGATTTGTCTTTTTCCGCTTACTGGCGTTTTATTCGATCAACGACAGGAAAGGGAAAAAGGCGTATTTACTATGAGTTTATCCAACAAACAACCGACCCAATTCAGCTTAATAATAGGTGAGTACATCCCCATCATATCTATCTTTGCAAAGTTCCCTTGGGGACATATTTTATCTAGCTAATCAAAGTCAACAGCTCCAACGATGCATTCGAATCATTTTGCGGCCAATTTAAAAACATTATCATCAAAATTTCACAATTTTCCCTTTCATTTATTCGAGTGTGGTGTGTGCAAAGAGAAGAGAGTTTCTCGACCAATGGAGATGAATAATGCGAGAGTCTCGCACGATTTCAATATGTATAAATGTCCAATTTTGTCAAAATTTGTAGAGAATTCCTAAAGACAAAATGGAAAATACCTATTATAATTACATATAACATTTCCTACAACATTATAATTACAAAGTTGATTAAGTCAAAGAAGTATTTACTGTACAGATAACTTGCCCAAACAGAAACCTCTCCATAGTAATCGCAAAACATACTAGTATGTACTCGTATGCGACGAGGTGACTAATTTCCTAAAATATACAAGTATCTATACATTTTTCAAACACAAACATTCGATTTCGGCACTTGAATTCCACAAAATTCCAAAAACTTACAATTTCTGTGGTCTTTGCAGCTCACTTTTCGATCAAAAAACGCCAACCCAACCTAAATCTGGAAACGTTCATTCATCTGTACTAGTATTGTACATAAGATACTATATCTTTCCGCCTATTCGAATATTTCAATTGCGCAAAATGTACTCCGAATTCTTCGCGTTCGATTAATAATTAATTATTTCACAGCCAGAACAAAGAAATATGCAAATCTGATTGCAAAAACCTTGCCAGATATTGCCGGTATAGTGAAATCGGACAAATTGCTTCACCCTCGCGCTGCTCGCCGCGTCGGCGGAACAAATTCAGATCCAAATCGGGGCATTCTTCGGTATTTCTGTAGCATTTCAAATGAAACGAAAATTAAATGTAAAATTTATTGTTGCATAAACAAAATGCCAAGAAACCGTATCCAAAATCGAACGATGCGTATGTGGCACCTTTAAGTATTTTGTAGCTGCCCCTCCATTCCTCCATTCCTCCTCCCAATGCCCCAACCTATCCACCCTATCGACGCTATCCACCTCCCATCTCCCATATGCCGCTCGCAACATCTTCATCTGACCGGCTGCTGCTGATACTGCTTCAGCCTCTGCTCTCGGCTGTGGCGGGTATGTAGAACAAATACTATATAGAAGGCTGGAGGAGAATGGAGAATTTAGTGCTGCCTCATGCCCAGTGGCCAAAAATAACATCAATGGGGGCACGAAACGAGGCACAAAACATGTTGAGGGTGGGAGATCAAGACTGAACGGAAAGGAAGGGGAGGGGAGGGGAGGGGAGCGACGCCGTGTGTTTGCTTTGTTTATAGTTTTCTTGTAAACAATTGCGGATGGAAAAACCAAATCCCCGACATGTTCGAGAAAAATCAGCTCTGGATGATGCCCAAAATCAAAACGATCGAATTTAAAATCGGACTGAACCAAAAGTGCAGAGTGGGGCCAGCCGATTCACCCCCAATCGACCTCCTCCACGATGATCATCGGCATGGACCGCAACTTATGTACATACATACATGGCGTCGAGTGTAGGATAAACAAGTGC